TCCACTGCAGTATCGAAAAATGGGTACACGGAATTCCTTGGAACTAAATATTTCACAATATCACAGACATAGAACAGCGCCGCGTCGGCGTGCCATCTTTCGTGAGCCGGTTAATACAGCATGCGAATTATTATAAAGCGACGTAAAAAATGCACTTTTTTAAAATTTGGTCGGATAACCAACGTTTTTTCGTTAAAAGCGTTTAATTAAACGAAGTCGAAAAGCAAGCAGTACGCTTGTCACTGTGACGGGGTAAGAGCGCGTGGGTGTTGTACGGTGTGTTTCCATGCTTGCTTGTGTTAATGCGTTTCGTGTATTGGTTTAATGTGCATATAAAATAGTTAAAAATATGTATATAGGGTGAAATTGAATGTTTCTATGAAACTTCGTGAGATTGTTGGGTTATGTGTATAGAGTATGCCTGTTTTTTTTCGGATTTTTTTGAAGTATATTTTTTTCATGTATTTATTTATAATTTGTGTATTTTTATGTCCTTTCCTCCTTTTGAGTAGTTATTCATTTTAAACAAACAAACTTACATGTCCAGTGAAAAACAACTAATAAATAAGCACTTCTAAAAAACGGAAAAACGTTAAAATTCCACCGCGGGTCAACGACCGACCGCGCCCGCCAGCCGTTGAGTGAATAGGTACCTAGCTCTAACCAGAGCTCAGCTGACTCGTTTGATTCCACACAATACAATAAAATCGGCTTAGATGCCTTTTTCAATAAATTGAAATAATAAGCACAAATGTCATCTTCTCTTAAGCAGAGAAAAACTTTAAAAGTTAATAATAATTTTGTCACGATAGGAAATAGGCAAATGTTAAACAAAAAGAAATACTTATTGCAGTTCAATACTTGGGTCAGAATGAAATTTATAAACAGGTATTCAAAAGTACTTACGAGACCGGCGATGTAAGTAGGTACAACGAGGAACGAGGAAATTATTCATTTTTTTCACTAGAACTTTTTATCAAATCAATCACACTGGTAGTACACAATTAGTTGTTTCTAATCAAAAAGTATTTACACTAGCAATAAAAAGAGACTTAAATTATTATCTGCAAAATTGTTGCTCTAAACCACAATTTTGCTGCAAACAAAGGTAGGCATTTTTGCGGACGTGTCTTTTCACCTTTTTTAAAGTGTCCCTATCACTACTGACTGCACAAAATGCAACTTCTATGGTTTGGGGACTCATTCGTAAACCAAACCTACTTCGTCACACTCGCGATAGCAGTACACCATCTCTAAATATTCTTGGTTCGTATACCGAGGCATAATGAAATTATCACAGTGTATGTCACTAAGTCAAAAGATGCGCACGCTCACGCGCGATTGATATACTTGCGACTGCGTTTTGCATGCAATCAAAGCAATCCACCGCGTGCGGGGAAGAGGGGAGGTGGGCGGAATTCACATCATCAAAGACGCCGCAACCGGCGCTAGTTGCCAGCGTGCGGCGCGCCGCTCGCCCGTGCTTGCCGAAAAACAACATATTATTATGTATGTGTGTGTGTGTGTGTGTGTGACTGTGGCTGTGATTAAACGTTTTGGGAATTTCATGACGTGGGCAAATCAGACACGAAGAGTTCCTTCCTTCACTAAGCTCGTAAGTTATACCGATTTGCTCTGTATGATTTTTCACAATTTTAAATAAGCCGTTTGTGCTTAAGTTTTAATTAAACGAGGCAACTAACATTAACAATAAAAAAGAAGTTCTTACACTAACTAACTGACAGGCTTTACCGATTTAAAATCGTGACAGTCATATTAACTTTATAGGATTTTTAATTGCTCTAACAGAAGATTTATTTTATTGATTAATTACCTGTGCTTTATGAAATAATATTCAAAGGTATTGTGTATCAGTGAATAAATAATTATAATAAAGCATCTAAGACTATTTTATTGTAATGTTTTTAAATAGTGTGGATCAAAGCGGAGAGTAGGTAAGCGCCGAGTCATCTGTGCGTGTAATAGGTACCTACACAGGCGGCCGCCGCGCCGGTCGTCGCCCCGACCGGCGCTGATCTCGACTGGAGGCATAATGAAGGCATTCATTAAGTTTCCGTTTTTTTAGTAGTGCTTATTTTAAGTTGCTTTATAACTTCTATGTAGACATGTTTAAAATGAATAATTACTCATAAGGAAGAAATGACAAAAATAAACCAAATAAAAAATTAAAAATCGAAAAAATTTATTTTAAAAAATCCGAAAAAAATCAGGCATTATCTATACACGTAACCCAACAATCTCACCAAGTTTCATAGAAACATTCAATTTCACCCTGTATAAAATCAATGAACTTTTAAGTACGCCTGGATCACGAGTATATTAACTCCAGACAGTCCTAAGCTTGTAAAGTACGAAGGAAAGTTCATTGACTATTATAAAAATGTTTATTATAAAATCTAAATTCGTTCGTTTAATGCCAATCAATTCATTAGGTTTAAAAAAACTTTTTAATAAAAATTACTTTAATAAGAAGAAAAAACGCAATAAAACACTTAAACACATTAAAAACGACAATAAATTTTTCACGCTTTTTTAAACGATATACTTAAACGAAAACACAACACAACGTCGCGCTTTTTACGCATGCTTTTAAACGTTTAAGCCAATAAGCGTTTAAACGAAAAAGCTTTTTTTCAAGCGCGCTTATTTTAAAAAGTACAACTTTTAAATGCTTTTAACCTCTGAAGTGATAGCATCCCGACTTTCGGCATCTGTTAATAATCCGTCAAGTGATAACATGCCGACATTCGGCATCGCGCGACTCTACGTAATCAGTGGCAATTAAAATATTCTTTCTTATTGCTATCACCTACTTGCTTATATCAATTTGTAGAGGAAAGAACAGGCCAGCTATCTAGCCATTGATTAAGTCAACTGCCATATGAAATATTTATACTGTTGTCTGTGGAAGTTCGTCGTTCGCCGTCTTTTGTATGAAAAAAAATATGCCGTGTATTCAGACTATTTAAAGTGTTTTTCAGTGGTTTTTTTTTAAAAAAACACCATCTCTGGGCAAGTTAAATACATTAAGTTACTCTATTTTGATGTTTCGTTTGCGGGTTTACGTGTTTTTTTTTTTATAATTTTTTTGTTACATCCCTCGTAAAAAAAAACAATAAAAAAAAGGGTTTGTGTCTTATGTTTTCATGGTGATAATTTCGATAATAATTGTAATGTTTTAATTTATAATTATTGAATACATTATCCATGATTAATATTTCGAACACAGAGAATCTCTTGCGTTAGTATTTTTGAAGAAATAAAAAAAAACAAAAGCAATATTTTTTCATATTATTTTCTTGTATGCGAACTAGTGATTAGTTTTTGTTTATTCTAAAGCAAATTTAATGTACATTTTGAAAAAAGAAACTGTTTATCAAAATTGTAAATACTTTTCGTTTTATCGACATAAAACTGAGATGACTGCTTTATAGGCGATTTTAAAATGCCTTGTTGTAAGTTCTTAAAACTATAAAAAAACAAAGTACTATTCATGCCACACTTGTTTCTAAAGTGATGTTTACAATCTTAGCTAACCGTAAACCCATAAATCATGGCACTCAGGCCGCCCGTCTGCGCTTATCGCCGAGGCGAAACCCGACGCCTTTTTTTTTGTGACGCGTCTTTGTTTACACAATTAGCACGTGGTTGTCAGAGCTATAGTGTAAAATTAAATTGTGCGATTATGGTATTTTATGTTTGTATTTGGTAAGTTATAATAGAATGTGCAAATAACCAAAAAACCTAGACATGAAATTTTAAAGATATACTCTATTTAACCCATCTGAACGCCTTTTTTTATCTTTCCCGAGTTTACCGTAACGTAATTAAAATAGATTATAGACATGACGCATTGTATAGACACTGTTTTATAGTAAATTTTATGAAGAATCCAAATATACATAGTTTGTGTGGGGTATTCTTACGAAATAAAAGAGAAATCGGCAAAACAATGCGATCGTTCCCACCCCGCGGGAATGTTGACAGATGACGTTCGTTAACACTTTGACGTAAGACGGCGCCATGACGACTAGCCCCTGGAAATAAGCCGTTTTTTCCATCTCTATCCCTCACACTCTCTCACTACGGGACATTGTCGAAATTTCTGTGTAAAACGAAAAAAGCCACAGACAGAATAAATAAAAAAAAAACAATCTCACAAAATTGGATTGTTTGAAATCTAACCAAATAGACATGGGCGTTTTTGGTTTTGAACGCAAACGGATATTTATCGGATTTCAGATTTCAAAATCGATTTTAAAATCCGTTTTTAGATATCCGATTTCAGATGTGCCAAACTTAGCCAATTCACTAGTTTGTGTTATGATTTGGTTTTATTAGCTAACGACAATCACAAACAATTAATTGTAGGAAGCAAGAATACTCGGTAGATTTTCGCTTAGGACTAGCAGAAAAGTTATGTTTACGGTTAAGAGTAAAACTTTTGCGGCGCATTTAAAAATCGACTTATATACAATGATTTCTTTTTACATATTTTTTTAGTATTTTTTTTTGTTTTTCTGTTTGTTTTTATTATTTTTCAAACCATTTACAAAATCAAACCTAATTACTTCAGGTTAGCGTCCAAAAATGTAAGTTGCTCGACTTTTGATGTTTTTAGACGACATATCTTTTCAGTGATAAATAATCCCGCCTCAGAGAAGAGCAATAGATTTCCGTAAACAGCAAATCGAAATCGGACTTCCGAGCACGAAATCTGACTTCCGAAAACGAAAGCACGAATTTCGAATCCGATTTACATTTGGATACTTATGGTATTAGATCGCTAGCGTTTTGGTTCGGTTAGATTTCTGAAATCGGATTTTCTTGTTGAGAAATCGTTCGGTATCGATTTGTGTTTGAAATCGGATTTTGGATTCGTTTTGATATATCGGACGCATGCCTATAACCAAATCATTAATCCTTACTTTAATTGAAAAAGGGCTTATTTTATTTTTATAACATTTTAAAAGGCAAGGCTTAATAAACAGTAACATGAGCGATGAGCAAGAGCACTACATAGCGTTAGAGAATTTGGAATATTAAATAATTGCAACTATTTACTTGTGGACAAAATGTATTTACTCAGAGCTTTTAGCAGTGTGTTACATACAAACAAAGATTTATGTAATAAGTTTTTTGTTCGTTTTTATGCCAAAAATAAGAATCCTTATGTTAAAACGTGGGAATTATTCTCAAAAGAAATTCCGGCATTATTTAATGCAAGCAAACAACCAATTACGTATCCAGAACATGTTGATGTTGTTGTAATTGGTGGTGGTTTTATAGGTTCATCTGTTGCCTATTGGTTGAATTGCAGAACTGGCAAAGGCCTTTCTGTAGTAGTTCTGGAGAAGGATCTAACGGTTTGTATTATTCAAATATTAATCCATCATAGTAAAAATAGGATCTTGTACTGATTTATTTTTGCTTTTCAGTACAAGGACCTTCAAATTAGTTCTTCGCTGGGTACCTTAACACAACACTTTTCATTGCCTGAAAATATATATCTTTCACAATATAGTGCCGAATTTTTTAGAAATATAAAAGAACATCTAGGCAATGATGTAGATTTACAGTATCAACCACACAATAATTTAGTATTAGCATGTGAAAAATATGCTGAAAAATTGGAAAAGAATGTTGCATTACAAGCAGAGTATGGTTTACATAATAAACTTATTTCTTCAGAAGATTTAAAACATAGATATCCTTGGCTTAACACACATGACATAAAATTGGGTAAATAGATTGCTGGTGATTATTGTCTTTAAAATGTCCTTTTTATTTGCATGTCTTTTTAATAGTGATACTTATTGCAGGTTGTACTGGAATTGAATCTGAAGGAACATTCAATTCTCTGGAACTTTTAAAAGGACTCGTAAATAAGGCACAAGCACTTGGTTCTGTTTATATTAATGCAGAAGTAGTTGGTTTTGAATTAGAAAAACAACGAGATGTGTTAATGGAAGGTGTTTTGCCTGGTTCATTTGAGAGAATTAATAAAGTAATATATAAGACACCAGATAATGAAGAACACTCTATTAAGTTTGCAGCATGTGTCTTAGCTGCAGGTGATAACTCGGGAAATATAGCACAGCTTGCCAAAATTGGAACATGTGAAGGGTTACTAAGTATACCATTACCAATAGAAAAAAGGTAACTAATAGTCTTATCTCTAAACATTTACCAACAAACTTATCTGTTTGGTGCAATAGTATCAACATACCTTCTGCTTCCTTTTTAGTTCTAAAAATTAGTCTTTGTAAACATAATTTATCTCAGAGATTTGCTCTAACTTGATTGAGGGGGCGATTTATTACTGATCTGCCAACTGAATCCAATCAAATCTCCTAAACTTAATTACTGTAATTATTGTACCATTACTGGAGTGATTCAGTCTTAACCATTTACCCAAGTCTAGTTGGAAAACATGTTCACTGAACCAACTCTCTCTCTCTCACCAACTGGTCTTTAGTTTACTTTGCCTTTACATTGATCTGTAATCCTTTGCCTATGCGTACAGCGGCCATATTTTACGTCTTGTGACACTCTAAGATTTGTTTTACTTTATTGCAATAATAATAAAAAAATCCTATCATTTTCAAACTTCAACTTAAACTCTTATCAGTTCAAATATTAGCATCTAATTACCCTATCCTTTATACGTTTGCCATTTTGTTTTAAAAGAATTTTACCCAGCAAATGTTATTTATAATTATTTAATTATAAAATTTTTACTGTAGTTAATGCCACATCAAATACATAAAAATTATGTAAAATTTTGACAAATGGTTATTTTTTCTATAGGATCTAACTATAGTTAAATTTAACTATTGATGAAATAATGTGACCTTAAACATAATATTTTATTATCACACTGTCACATCTTCTTTCGATGTTCTGTAAAGGAATAATTTTAAATAAACTGTCGAATACTATATGCAGGGCGCAGCGGTCTGCCCCACAACCAATGTGCTGTAGCAAGCGCATTAAAGTGCAACAGAGGTCCAAGCACGAATTTCGACAACTCCGTAATTGAATAATAATATAAATAATTCCAACACTCACACCAATTAGCCTAGTCCTAAAGTAAGCACTGTAAGGCTTGTGTTATGGGATACTAGGGTAACGGATAGAATACTTAAACAGTACATATATAGTATATTTATATAGAAAAACATTTAAACATCCATGACTGGAGTACAAATGCTCATATTCATCACACAAACATCTGCCCCCACCGGGATTCGAACCCGGGACCTCTCAAGTCGGCGACACCATGAAACCCGGCGTACAAACCACTTGGTCACGGAGTTCGTCAAATTTTGTATGAAAGAAGCTAGTTTGCTTAAAAATAAAAATTATAACGATAATTGTTTAACTCTTCTTTCAAATGTTTAATACTTGTAAAAGTATTCATTTGACATTGTGGGTTACCTATAATGCGAGGAGATGGCGCTGCCTTGCAGCATAAGAATGGCTAGAGGAATTTCGACGCGGCCATCAGGGCCGCGGTAGCATAATTGGTCAGTGCATTCGCCCGGACACCGAAGGCTGCGGGTTCGAATCCCGTCTGCTGCCTGGTCCGTGTGGTTTTTTTTCTAGTAATATTTTCTTTAGATTTATACATCAAGCAGTTACATGCTTAGAAATAAAAATTATAACGATAATTGTCATCTCTTCTTTCAAATGTTTAATACTTGTAAAAGTATTCATTTGACATTGTGGGTTACCTATAATGCGAAGAGATGGCGCTGCCTTGCAGCTTAAGAATGGCTAGAGTGCGGGTTCGAATTCCGCCTGCTGGTGGTCCGCGTGGATTTTTTTCTAGTTAAATTTTCTGTAGATACTTGTTAACGCGTGTATTTGATTTGTAGAGAATATAACGTATATTCCATAAAAGATAAAGCTAAAGATATGGGTTTAAAAGTGCCTATAGTAACAGACACAAGTGGACTATGGCTACAAAGAAATGGTCTTGATAGTAATTTATTGTGTGGTCATGTCCCCTTAGTAACAGAAGAAACAAAGGACCTTTCAGGTGAAGAATATTATGCAAATGTAATTAAGCCACCTTTGATAAACAGGATACAAAATTGTGAAAATGCTGAGGTATGTGTTATTGGAACTAGTATGTCATTTATTAGATAGAAAAAATTCTGGCATGATTCTCAAAACCTTAACTAAAATCTTATTTCTTTTCTATTAGGTATATATATATATATACAGGGCGTCCCACGGCTACCTCACACGGGGGGAAAGTATATTAAATATTGAAGATAGGATATTTTACTGAAAGAAGACATCATTTTATATTTAATAATAACAAGAACTGCATTCACAGTTTTTTTTTAGTGCTTGAACTCCAAGCACTTCTTGATTCAGTCATGCGCGGACCGTTGAAAATTTAAGATGCCACAGAGCTCCGTGAAAAAATACTAATAGTACGTAAAGTGTCGTTTTTTCGACAGGTATCTAAAGGATGTTTGTTAATTTAACGTATTATGATGATACAAGAATTAGAAGTACGTGTAATTCAGATTCTTAGATTTCATTACATAGTTACACACAAGTCGACCTTATAAAAGCGTGTTAAAAAATGAGCGGCCGCCCGCTACTTCTACCGCGTCAGTTTAGTTATTAAAATCTCACAGAAACTTAACGTTTTCCCAGGATAAAAAGTTTACTGTCTCAATCTAGGTCATAAACTATATGCATACCAAATTTCATCCCAATCAGTTGAGTAGTTTTTGCGTGCTTGAGTAACAAACAAACTTTCTCATTTATAATAACAATAGGATTAAATAATTTGAGAATTGATCGTGATAAAAAACGAGCTTTAAATTGTATCACGCTGCCGGTGCTCATGCTACAGGGACTGAATGAGCTTCTTTCTTATCTGTCGATTATTGAAAGTGGTGATTTTTTTATTTTAAATACCTAACTTTTTTTTTTCAGGTTACTCTTCTTACTATGGAAAAGCAAGATATCAATACCTTTGATTACAGCGGTATAATTGGACCTCATCCATATCATAATAACTTGTATATTGCAACAGGTTTCGGAAAACAAGGTTAGCTGATCGTGAGGAAAACAAGATTACCTGCTTTAAGTATTAACTTTCATTGCACATATGGATTTGATTTTGTTCTTATTAACTTAAAAGTTTGCACAGTGAAGCGAGTGAGAGAATGCTAAGATAAATAGAAAAGAAGACTAACATTGTTGTAAATCTTTAAATTACAGGTTGTCTACATGCGCCAGGCATAGGAAGAGCTATTGCAGAACTGATTGTCGACAGCCAATATTCAAAAATTGATTTAAGTAGACTTTGTTTTGATAGAATACTTATGAATGAACCATTAGTAGAATTCAATATTTATTAGGCACCTAATTGATATTGGAAATGTGCAATAAAACGAGTCACCAAGTGATTTCATAATTCTCATTTAATTTACTAATTTGTATAATCCTTCTATTACTTAAATTGAGCTGGAGGTGCCGTAAATAAAGCACCACCTTGCTTAGATGCAGCTCTAGATGGAGCAAATCCTAGCAATTTCTGGATGTTTTGTCTGAAAAAGAAAACATAATTCACCGAATTTTATATTTAATAGTAGATGGTTGCATCGAGTGCAGTGAGTTATTAATGCACGACTACGACTGTTATGTTGGTGCCCCGAAATTAACACAAGTGCATTAATAACTCACTTTAGCAAGGTGCGTAATCTACTTTTCTTTCAACTACCAATCTACTCTACCGTGATAAAATATGCGTACTAAAAATAAAAACAAAGTTTAATTCATTTTCTCCTCAAACTTACCTTTTTTTTCAGTTATTAAAAGTGAAATACGCACATTTACTCTACTAGGCATATTTACTCTAGTTTCTTTTTTTTCACCATTTCGGTTTTATTTAGCAGATTTTTATTTTCAGCCAGAATTTTTTTTGATCTTTGGCATTCAGTTTATATAAACTTAATGAGAGACATTAAATCTGTGGTAAATAAAAAAACATTTATGCATTGTTTTGGTTCTTACAAAAAGATGCGTCCTTTATGATCTGTTTTGTAATGATTACTGATAAAATTTACTACGTAGTTGAAAGAAATATCGTATCGTTAGTCATTTAAGCACAGAGCTTAATTTATATCTAAATAAAAAACTTTAATGATAAACAGTGCAACAATGAGTGTGCAACAACATTTCTGCACTGTTTTGGTTCTAAGCATAAAAATACCTCTTTTGTGATCTGTTTTGTAGTGATTAATGATAACATTACTGCGTAGTTGAAAGAAAAGTATTTTTAACTAGTGGGTGCCTAGTAATTTCTGTTTATATCAACGAATTAGAAATGATATGGAAGCATTAATCTGTAACAGTCTCCGCGACACCACCGCACCGCCTACCCTCCGGCACGCCTGGCAGTGTGTCAACATCATAGAGGTATAAGAATAGAGTAGGGGAGATATAGACTCTACTCCAAGTGGAAGTGTCCCTCTTATAAAATGAAAAAGAAGATGAGAGATCGCTAGCCTTCTCTCTCTAATCGCGCATGCGCATTGGCAACCGTAAGCATCTTACTATTTCGTTGTGATGCCATACGTCACAAGAGAGAGAGATAGCTAGCGGTCTCTCATCTTCTTTCTCTTTCTTCTAGACGGACACTTTTAGAGCCGCCTTCCCCACTCTATTCTTATACCTCTATGGTCTACAGTTTTCAAACGCCACCGCTCTGCCTCCAGCTTCTCTGTTTGACTTTTCATAAATCGAGTATGACTCTCTTCGGAGCAGTTACACATAAAGGTGCAGGCAGCATTTTTTGGCTGGTTAGTATAAAGGGAATGCAAATGAAATCAAATTGAATTAAAGCTATGCAAGTGTTATGCCTACCTGATACTCATTGTGCACAATATGTATAGAAAGATAAAGGAGCAATCAGTGTAATCATCTCCAGGCAAATTTCGGTGGCTCAATCCTTGAATCCAGGATATTGGATGAAACGGTAACTTGGCAACAACTCTTCCATCGAATCTGAAAAATAAGCGAGATACAAAACGTTTAACAGATTAGTTTTGAAGGCTAACCACACCTTGACCAATGAACCTTAACCAATTCGTTGCACGCCATAGCGCAAAGTTTTCAAAACTGGGCACTACAATTAATTGGCTAATGGCACACCACAATGTATTGAATTTAAAATGATAGGTTAGTCTAACATTATGCCGTCCTGTGAAGCTGTGAAGTTAGCGCTGTGCTGCCACTTGTGCTTGCTTCAGTCAAAACATATAATTTATCTGTGAGTCCATATTAAATACATGGGAGCCTGGTATCATAAACGTCTGTCTATGTGTTGTTATTGTTACAGATACTCAATAAATCTGCAGTCGACGTACTGCAAAACGTCAAAAAACCATACAGTCTCAGGGAATACCCTGTCTCCTTTAACATAGACATTGGCAGAATCGTCACGAAATACGAAACAGCCATAAACACCAAAAACTTAATTGAAGGAATAGCATGCTTTATGGCAACTGGTGCTATGTCTTCAACGCCAGGTTTTGCACTTAATGCTTTGCTAAACTTATCGCGCCTTCATTTATTCATAATAAAGACGGCGAAAGCAAATAAAAACAGAGTAAGCACTGACTGACTCGAGCACTGAGGTCTCTCCACCAAACAGCGCTTAAACTAACACCACTAGCAATGACTACAGATGTCATGCTTCCACTGAGTAATTTTATCAGAAATTACAAGGTGGAACTGCCAAGAAGAGAAACGTAGTGAAAGGAAGATGTGTGAACCTTTTTTTTTTTTTTTTTTTTTTGGGAAGGTGAAAATGCATTTACGCACTTCCCACGACCGTGCCCTGCCGTGGGGGTATGTGGGACTCCACGGGGCATATTCCTCACGCCGCGCCGTGACTACCCACTAATTTTCGTCAGGAAAATGCGTTACGCATACCTCACCGCTTTGGGAGTACGGTTTGGTTATGTGGGACTCCTCCCCTCCTTCTCTCGTCCACCCGTTCAGCCACAGTCCGAGGGCTGGCTCAACGGCTGCCCGAGAGAAAGGGGGCCCTACCCACTAAAAACCTGACGATGCCCCTCACCTCACCGATGGGCCGGGGCCTCCCCGGGTACGGGATCCACCATCAGGCGGCACCCCCCCAGACGAGGCAGCGGCACTGTGTGAGGCCATGGGAACCCTTTCGGATACATCCACAGCCCCACCAGTGAGTGTCCGAGTCGAACGGGCCCACCCAACTTGGGGATGCCCCGAGGCATCGAGGGCATCCCCACCTACATACAGAGGCCTGTACAATGCAGAGCTCGGACCTCCCAAGTCCGGGCCCCGCTGGCCTCCGTCGGTGTTGACTAAGAGCCGGTTGTTATGCCTTCTCCTAGCCCGCACCCCCCGGCGGCGAAAAGGGTCATGTTCCTCACGAACCCTCTCAGCGGCCTCCTTCTGCGAGATAACCACCTCGCAAAAGGAGACCACCGCGCCCCAAGACCTGTCACTGCTCAGCATAGCTCTTACTATGCTGGGCAGGGAGAGATCCCCCCCCACCGTCGCCACCAGAGTACGACGCTGCTCCGACCACGCTGGACATTCCTCTAGGGTATGTCCAGCAGTGTCCACAGCAGCCCCGCACTCATGGCACGACTCGGTCGCCTCTCTCTGGATCCGATGCAGATACTTCCCGAAACACCCGTGTCCTGAAAGTACCTGCACCAGCCGAAAGGTCAGCGACCCCCAACCTCTATCCATCCAATGCTCAAGCACTGGTTGTAGTGCTTGTAGCGTCTTAACCCCTGACGTAGACGTCTCGATCTGCTGTAGCCACATCTGCAGCAGGCGCTCATTTGCCTCGCGCCGTATCAGCGCAAGCTCCTCAGGCGCTGGTCTTTCCCCGCGCTCCCTTGCCTCCACCTTGCCTCGGTGCACCTCAGCAAGCACTAGGGCGTCCAGGTGCCACGGTGGCGTGCCAGCGATCGCACATGCCGCCGCCCATGAGATGGTCCTGTACCCTCGTATGGCTCTTATTGTTATCACCCTCTGGGGTTTATGGAGAAGACACTCTACACTCCCTATTTAAACCCACCGCCCAGACGGGTGCCCCGTACAGAGCCATACATCTTATCACTCCCATATATAGCCTTCGGCAAGCATTATTGGGACCACCTATATTTCGCATTAGCTTATTTAGTGCCACCGCCGTGTTGACCAATCTGGGCGCAAGCTGCCGAAAGAGTTCCTGGAACGTCCATTTGCCGTCCAATATCAACCCTAGGTATTTCATTTGTTTTTCTAGTGGGACCCTCAACTCGTCCACCACAACAAACGTCCCCTCGGGCGGCTTTCTCCCCCGACCATGAAACAGAATCACCTCGGTTTTGTTTACCGCGACCCTTAGTCCTATATGTCTGATACGCCCTATCACCAGATGTGCACCCACCCTGGCCAAGCGCCTGGCCTCTTGAAGAGTTTTTCCCCTTGCCGTGATCAAAGTGTCATCTGCATAACATATAACATTTAACCCGGCAAGCAGAACCCCCCTTAGCACCCAGTCGTATCCGAGATTCCACAGGAGCGGTCCAAGGACCGACCCCTGTGGAACCCCGCACACCATTTCCCTCTCAATCAGTTCCCCCCTTCTGTTAACGTATGCTACTTTTCGGCCTTCCAAATACCTCTCAATCACCCTTTGTAGGTATCCCGGAACCCTATGGTAACGGAGAGCGTCCCTAATGCAACTAAAGGGCAGTGAATTAAAAGCATTGGCTATATCTAGGGATATAGCCACTACTTGTTCGCCGCTGCTTACTGCCGCCTCCGTTAATCTACGCAGTGCCAATATGGCATCCACGGTGGATCTGCCCCTCCGAAAGCCGTATTGGTTCTCCGCCAGGTCAGGGCCCATCGTTTCCAGGTGCTGGACGATGCGGTCTGCGAGTATCCTCTCGAATGTCTTTCCCGCTTCGTCCAGCAACACGACGGGTCTATAAGCCGACGGAGAATCAACAGGCCTTCCCTCTTTCCTGAGGAGACACAGTCGCCCTCTCTTCCATGCCGTTGGGAACTCTCCTACAGTCAGGCACTCGTTTAAAAGCTCCCTATATTCTCCCCCCAGATGTTTTAGGGCAGCACATAGTGCACGCCCTGGGACCCCATCAGGTCCGGGCGCCTTTTTCTTTCGCCTCAATTTTTCAAGGGCATCCTCTAACTCATCCTCCGTTATCCGTGGTATCCCCTCTTCCTCTCTCTCATTGACACGGTGCCCTGGTGCTGTTAGAGGTGGTACCATTGGTGGTTCTTCCGGGAATAGATGTGCCACGACTCTCTCTAGGATTATAGGATCCATCGTGTTGATTGGAGGCGCCTCGTGTCGCATTTTATTGCGTATCATTCTGTATGGGCGCCCCCACGGATTCGAATCCAGCTCCTCCAGGAACTCCTCCCAGGCCGCTGTTTTTGCCCTGCAGATCTCCGTCTTAAGTCTGTTCTTTGCCTCCTTGTAGGCCTCTCTGAGACGCTGCTGTTCCTTTTCATTTCTTCTCCTTCTGCGGCAGTATCTATGGAGATTTCTCCTGGCTCTCATGCTGGCCCGACGTAGCACATCTATCTCTTGTGACCACCAGTACACACCCTGTTTGTGTGGTCTGTCCTTTACTCGTGGCATGGAGGCGTCACAGACCGCCCTCAAAGCTATCGCGAGGTGTTCGGTTCTTGCGTCAATGCTTTCCATTGGCCTGTCCTGGAGAACCCATGCTTCTGTTAGTGCCGTCTCCTCTGCCGCCTCCATGTCAAACCTGGAGATAGCCCATCTTCGGAAGTGTTCCCCGATGTTGTTGCTCTGTCGCAGTTCTAGATCTGGAGCAGGAGAGACCCTAAAACGAATATATAGATGATCCGATAGGGTCTCTGTCTCTGTCTCTCACTAAAAACACCTCCTGCGGTTCCATCTTCACACGATGGGGGAAGGGTATCAGCGAAGCCTTTGTCCCAGACCCCCAACCGTGAAATCGCCCTCTCGGACCCTTCTCTTTGCACTAACTCCCTTGTGTGCATTGGCACGAACCGCGGGACGTTTTGGACTCGACCCGTTTAGAGGAATCCGTCCGTCTCTCTCTAGGGGCATCACTCCCTAACTCGATGGGAAGCCATTTATAATGTGTGAACCTAGCATCCGACTTTGGAAAATCAAATATCCTCTTAACGATTCTTAAAGACTTTCGTATGTAGTTGATTGTAGTAAAAAATATTTCGTTTGTAGTTGTTTTGAAAAAAAAGTTGTTATGGGACTTCGAAAAATCGTTACGCGTTGGCCACGTAGATGGGCTAGGCTAAGCGCGGGTGCGGGTGACTTCTGCGGGCGGGGTGACATGCCACGTACATTCAGTAGCGGCTACAGCGGCTGACTGAGTGGACGTATTGAGGATGGCTCTAACTAAAGTGATTTTAGTTGCCTTGACAGCAGTTCGTATTTTATGGCGAATACTATACTATTAGTAATTACGTATTATCTAATAAAACTTATTGTCCTGATCTTATTCATTTAATTACATAGTTTTGAATTACATTTTTATACTTGTGTCGTTTGTAGTTGATTGTAGTGAAATCATTTTTGTTTGTAGTAAAAAATCAAAAAGTTAAAAAAAAAATTTTGCACCCGACTTTGGAAAATCGAATTTGTATTTTATGTTTCGTTCATATGAAATTTCGGTATGGTTGAAATGAGATGATACGGATTTTTCAAAGTCCCATAACTTTATTTTTAAGCAACTACAAACGAAAATTCTTTCACTACAATCAACTACAAACGATTCTTGATGAGAATCAATCAGAAAATTTGGGTATGGTTGAAACGGGGTGAAATGGATTTTTCAAAGTCTCATTACTTTTTTTTGAAGCAACTACAAACGAAATTTCTTTCACTACAATCAACTACAAACGATTCTCCATGAGAATCAATAAAAAAAATTGGCTACGGTTGAAACGGGATGATACGGATTTTTCAAAGTACCATAACTTTGTTTTGAAGCAACTAAAATTCTTTCACTACAATCAACTACAAACGATTCTGGATGAGAATCAATCAGAAAATTTGGGATTTTTCAAAGTCCCATAACTTTTTTTTGAAGCAAACGAAAATTCTTTCACTACAAAGGATTCTCGATGAGAATCAATCAGAAAATTTGGGTATGGTTAAAACGGGATGATACCTACAGATTTTTCAAAGTCCCACAACTTTTATTTGAAGCAACTACAAACAAAAATTCTTTCACTACATTCAAATACAAACGATTCTCGATGAGAATCAATCAAAAAATTTGGCTACAGTTAAAACGGGATGGTATGGATTTTTCAAAGTACCATAACTTTTTTTTGAAGCAACTACAAACAAAAATTCTTTCACTACAATCAACTACATATAAAAGTCTTCAGAATCGTTAAGAAAAAATATGATTTTCCAAACACAAGGTTAAGGTTCACACAGCTGTGAAATGACTATGAATCCTGTATGGCTGGAAGTCTAATCTGGTTTACAGACGGCTTCAAAATTGGTGAAAATGTAGGTTGTGTGGAATATACGGCGAAGGCCGCGATTCAACAAAAGCGTAAATATCGAAAAACCACGGCACTACTCTCAATTGATGTCATCACTACTATCGGCATCTGTCAATAATCCGTAAACTGATGACATGCCGACATTCGGCATCGCGCGACTCTACGTAATCAGTGGCAATTAAAATATTCATTCTTATTGCTATCACCTACATTCTTATATCAATTTGTAGAGGAAAGAACAGGCTAGCTATCTAGCCATTGATTAAGTCAACTGCCATATGAAATATTTATACTGTTGTCTGTGGAAGTTCGTCGTTCGCCGTTTTTTGTATGAAAAAAAATATGCCGTGTATTCAGACTATTTAAAGTGTTTTTCAGTGGTTTTTTTTAAAAATACACCACCTCTGGGCAAGTGAAATACATTAAGTTACTCTATTTTGATGTTTCGTTTGCGGGTTTACGTGTTTTTTTTATAATTTTTTTGTTACATCCCTCGTAAAAAAAAACAATAAAAAAAAGGGTTTGTGTCTTATGTTTTCATGGTGATAATTTCGATAATAATTGTAATGTTTTAATTTATAATTATTGAATAAATTATTCATGATTAATATTTCGAATACAGAGAAACTCTTGAGTTAGTATTTTAGAAGAAATAAAAAAAAACAAAAGCCGCGCAGTGTAACGGTCGTTCTAAATTCAAATATTCGAACGAAATATTTTTTCATATTATTTTCTTGTATGCGAACTAGTGATTAGTTTTTGTTTTTTCTAAAGCAAATTTAATGTACATTTTGAAAAAAGAAACTGTTTATCAAAATTGTAAATACTTTTCGTTTTATCGACATAAAACTGAGATGACTGCTTTGTAGGCGATTTTAAAATGCCTTGTTGTAAGTTCTTAAAACTATAAAAAAACAAAGTACTATTCATGCCACACTTGTTTCTAAAGTGATGTTTACAATCTTAGCTAACGGTAAACCCATAAATCATGGCACTCAGGCTTCCCGTCTGCGCTTATCGCCTACAGGCGAAACTCGACACCTGTTTTTTGTAACGCGTCTTTGTTTACACAATTAGCACGTGGTTGTGAGAGCTATAGTGTAAAATTAAATTGTGGGAGTATGGTATTTTATGTTTTTATTTGGTAAGTTATAATAGAATGTGCAAATAACCAAAAAACCTGGACATGAAATTTTAAAATTTTGAAGATATACTCCATTTTACCCATCTGAACGCCTTTTTTTATCTTTCCCGAGTTTACCGTAACGTAATTAAAATAGATTATAGACATGACGCATTGTGTACACATTGTTTTATAGTAAATTTTATGGAGAATCCAAATATATATAGTTTATGTGGGGTATTCTTACGAAATAAAAGAGAAATCGGCAAAACAATGCAATCGTTCCCACCCAGCGGGGATGTTGACAGATGACGTAATCAATTTGACGTAAAACGGCGCATGACGACCATCAACTCAGAGGATATTCCAAGCAGAGGTATATGCCATCAAGAATGTGCAGAAGCCATTTATCAATGAAAGTACTCAAACTCAAACACATATTTTTTCATATAACCAAGCAGCTCTCAACGCCATTAACTCGAACACAATATGCTCGAAATTGGTGAAACACTGCGTTGATAAACTGAATAACCTGGGTCATAAGAATATAGTTATTCTTGTACCCACGAGGGCATTTGGGGATAATCGGCAATGAGAAAGTTGATGAACTAGCAAGAGCAGGGGCAGGGAACAGATGGGATAGCACTAACCATTATCGAATTCGAATAGTTTGAGAGTCCGAAATGTCATTGTCAAATTTTGTAAGGATGGAAACTTGAACAGCAGCGCCATACACCCAGAGGAAATCAAATCTCCAAAAGCTAGAAAGATTTTGAGCTTCTTGGTAGCTGTCAGGCTAAAAGAAATACTTTAACTTGGTGGCAAGTCATAGTAGTACTTCTAGGAATGACTACAGTTTCATTATGACTGGTTAGCCCCAAAAATCTGAAATAATAATACTAAATTGCACAGAGTGAAGCCAGGGCCATCTTATGCTATGTTATAAATGTTAGGAATGTATGAGTTTATTTTATAACAGATAACACCAGCGATAAAAAAAAATATATAATAAGAATTTTATACTTACATACTATTAAACATGCTGAGCAATGCTGTAAAAGCAAATCCAATTGCAAACATTGATTTCATTTTAACCAAGGAAAGATCTCTATTGTTGTTTTTGAGTCTTTCTTCTTCTCGTTCAATTTTTTTCTTGTGCTGCTTATCCAAAGAATCACCATGAGCTTCTTTTCTTTTTTCCACTAAAAGAAAAAAAAAATGTTTCAGCATACAAAACTCTTAGTAAGGGAGCTCACGATTGAGTGTCGTTGGGACCTATTGGATTGTGAAAATATCATTTATATTGAGGTTTGTGTTAGGTTTTTTCTACATTTTTGAAAGCTTGTACACGCTCCCCCCACCAGTGAAAAGGTATAATTTATAAAACTTTTTTCTGTTTAACATCTAACCTCAATATAAATGATATTGAGGTTTCTAATATACATATATATATTTTTTTAAACTGAATAGTTGTCACAAGGAACTCTTCCAAAGTGGTAAAATGTGTGCCCCCCTAAAATAAGAGCATGTACGATGAACAAACTAAAATAATATGGGGCATTCCACGTGAAGCGGACAGGTAAAAAAACTCGATGTTTCCGATTTCAGTAATAATTGAGTATGTTCTACTTATACTTATTATTGATACGTGTACCAAATATTTTTGTGATATAATGACTAGTTAAAGAGTAATGGGACTTTGAAGTTTTCGACAACCGGTTGGCATGCAGTACTTCAAAGCCGATTATGGACTCATAAAATTATATATTAAAATAACTTAACCACTGGATTTCTTACTTTATTTACTGGGCTTTTTAACTGTGTTTTTGGAATAGAGAAAAAATTTTTTTTTTCGTAAAAAAAAAACCAATTTAAGTTTTTTTTCTTGATTTTCAGAAAGTTAGACCATTTAGTTTTTTTTTATTTTTTTTATATAAATTGCTAATATTGTATAGAACATTAGTGCCAACTTTTATAATGGGCGTGGAAGTGGATTAGGAGCTAGACTGAAAATACTGCCGAAGGGTGGCGTCCAGCGCCGCGCCTGTTGACCGCCGCTTGTGCGCGATTAGTCATCAAACCGTCAATCAAATAAAATCACTTTTGACGAATGTTTTGTAGATTTTTAAGAAAACCAATACATTTTTAATGCCTATTAAGTACTAAAATACGTTACAACTACACTTTTAATTATAAATATACATTTTTTTATTCTCCATAATATGTGTATGAAATAAGGCCTAAAGGGCTTGTATCCAGGCCATAATATTAAAAAAAAGTTAATTATGGCGCCATGTTTGACAATTTTACCGCGTAATTTTGTGACGCGTGAGAGTGACTTTGTTAGTTCTGTGAGATTATATCGCTATTAAAAATATTTGAATATCATGACTCCTTACGGGGATCGATGTTATAATCCGTTTAATTTACCTGTACATAGAAAAACTAAAGGATTGAGGAAGTTATCACAAGTGCTAGCAGAAAAGTGGTCAATTACAAATAAAAACGTTAATTATTATGTGTGTAAGCAGTGTAGAGACCGTCTTGCTAGTGAAGAACCCTTAATTATTGATGATGTGATCCTAAATAGTCAAGCAAGCCAATCATCACTCCAAAATTCACAAGTCTCGTGTTATGTTCCGGAAGGAAATACGCTTACGAAGTCAACACAGACAAACGACATAAAATCCATTGACAACGAAATACTTTTACAATTGAAAGAGAAATTTAATGATCCTTCTACATCTGTTTCTGAGAAAACGATGATTCTTACCTTAGCACCTAAATCATGGAGCGAAAATAAACTTGCTGATGAATTCAATACCTCTAGACGGCAAGCAAAAAAAGCCAAGGAACTGGTTGAGCAGAACGGTATTTTATCATCGCCTAATCCACGAGAGGGCCGCAAGTTAACATCAGAAGTTCTAGATTTAGTTTCTGAATTTTATCTTAGAGAAGATAACACTAGAATAATGCCTGGGAAAAAAGACTTTGTGTCTGTTAAGCTACATGATGGCCAAAGAGTCCAATTACAAAAACAGCTATTATTGTGTAACATCAATGAATTATATCAACAGTTCAAATTGGAATACCCTGACACAAAAGTAGGTCTTTCAAAATTTTTTTCATTACGTCCTAAGCAGTGCATTCTTGCTGGTGATTCGGGTACTCATATAGTCTGCGTGTGTATTTACCATCAAAATGTTAAATTGATGCTAATCGGGGGGGATATTGCATCACTTACTTCTGAGTCTGCTATCCCCCTAGTATCGTACAAGGATTGCTTGCAAAAGATGATGTGTCCAGATCCGACACCAACTTGCAATTTAATGACAAGAAAATCGTCACTGGACGAACAATGCCAAAGTTGCCCTGGCCTTGTCGGAATTCGGGAACACTTACGAAATATATTTGACGCAAATCAAGTGACTAGTGTGCAGTTTAATACATGGGTTGGTACAGACCGATTCACAATCGCCACTCAAGTTCTTCCTTCTGATGAATTTGTCGACAGTCTTTGCTCAGGATTAGACGCTTTAAAACCTCACGCCTACATATCAGATCAGCAAACTCGGTATTTTAAATTATTAAAAGAGTCGATTTTGGAGGGTGACATAATCATTCAGTGCGATTTTGCTGAAAACTACAGCTTCGTAGTTCAAGACGCTGTCCAGGCATTTCACTGGAGTAACGACCAGGCTACTCTCCTCACATCTGTGTATTATTACAAAAAGGAGCAAGAGTTAAAACACGGAAGTATTGTAATGATATCGGATGACCTAAAACATGACACTGCAACGTTTTATACCTTCCAAAAAATTTTACATCAACATTTACAAGAAAAGGATATATCAACCAATAAATATATTTACGTAACTGATGGTGCACCCCAGCACTTCAAAAACAGGTTTAATTTTATCAACCTGTTTTATTTTAAACAGGATTTCGGTACAGAGGCAGAGTTTCATTTTCATGCTACTTCTCATGGCAAAGGGCCATGTGATGGACTTGGGGGCAACTTGAAACGTTTGGCAACTCGAGCTAGTCTACAGTCGGCGTCAGACAAAGCGATCACTACACCCCAGCGTTTGTACCAATGGGCGAAAACATCAATGCCCCAAACGCACGTTTTATATGCTCCAAAAGAGGACATTCAACAAAACCGATTGTTTTTAAAGAGCAGATTTGAATCGGCAGCGACAATACCAGGCACAAAAAAATATCATGCCTTTATTCCCACTACTGAAGGTATTATGATTAAACGCACGAGTAACAGTGAAGCATTTAAAATTGCAAAAATTTGTAAATAAAGTAATTAATCATAGAAGATAATTTGTTTTATTTAAAATATCAAACTACTAAAGAAAAAAAGTAATCTGAATAAAACAAATTTTACGGGTTAGATGCATTAATCTGCTTACTCACAAGTGGCGGCGTCAGGCGCGCCAGTGCGACGTCGCCGCGTCGCGGCGCTGGACGCCACCCTACGGCAGTATTTTCAGTCTAGCTCCTAATCCACTTCCACGCCCATTATAAAAAATGGCACTAATGTTCTATACAATATTAGCAATTTATATAAAAAAAAATAAAAAAAAACTAAATGGTCTAACTTAGTGAAAATCAAGGAAAAAAACTTTAATTGTTTTTTTTTTACGAAAAAAATTTCTTTTTTGCTTTTCCAAAAACACAGTTAAAAAGCCCAGTAAATAAAGTAAGAAATCCAGTGGTTTAGTTATTTTAATATATAATTTTATGACTCCATAATCGGCTTTGAAGTACTGCATGCCAACCGGTTGTCGAAAACTTCAAAGTCCCATTACTCTTTAACTAGTCATTATATCACAAAAATATTTGGTACACGTATCAATAGTAAGTATAAATAGAACATACTCAAATATTACTAAAATCGGAAACATCGAGTTTTTTTACCTGTCCGCTTCGCGTGGAATGCCCCATGATGTACATCACCATGCAAACTTCCACCAAAAATTGGTTTAATTGAGATCTAGTAAGTAGTTTTTTTAATATGTCATTTTACCTTTCATTTAATCAACTCAACTTTACTTATCAATGACTTAATTTAAAAAAATACACTATTATTAAAACATCAATCAAAGTTACAATGAACTAAAAGAGCTTTTATATTATGTTATTTGCTGCTACGGAACCCTTCATGGGCGTGTTCATATATTATTTTTTGAGGATCATTTTCATTTTTCCCTGAACTAAAGAGTAGGTCTCTTGTCAAACATAAAAACTCATGCTAGCAATTTGAAATTCTTATATGAACTTATGATTGGCGAATTCGAATTGAAATAAAATATCTGTAATACAATACATTTGTTCCCAAAATTTAACATCCTCTTTATGTATTATTGTGATGCAGATACACATAAAATACTTTAACTGTTACGAGGCACTATTTGACACACTATTTATACATATAGAATTGATAACGAGAAAAGTTCATTTTCTATGAGAACTATTATGGGTACGCCAGGTTGATGCTAGCTAAGAATGTTTAGTTCAATATCTTTGGTCCTTTGAGTATTGATTATGAAATTTTGTAAAGCCAGGGCACTATTTGCGAAATATTTTTGTGTGTCAATTTCGTTGCTTAAATATATGCCGTTCTTGGGGTCGGCCATGGGTACGCTAGCTTGACGTCATGGTAGTGTACACAGTAAAAATGGTCTTTATTTCTTAAATTAAAGAGGCACTATTTTTTTTATTTTTACACTAATTTGGCACTATTTACGCAGTATTTCATGGCATAACGAAAAACCGTATTTTTGATTGTGGGTACGCTAGCATCACGGACACGGGATTTGGATCAGAGTTTATGCAGAATGTTGTCTCTTCATACTTGTTTGGAAGTGAAATTAATTCCCTAGATACAGAAATTAAGTAATATATTATTAAGTATTTCTCCAGACCGCCTCAAGGTCAAAGTACAGTAACATAATAGATTTTTCAAAATAAAATTAAGTAAATATATCATTAAGTATTTCTCCTGACCACACTAATTAAGATCTGAATGCTAAGTTGTCAAAATCTGTACTAGCCGCCTCAGGATCATAGTACAGTCACCTAATAGATTTTTCAAAATACTATATGTTGATAATATACTGACATTTTTTACTTTGCCGTTCTACTTCCACTTTGAGTTTTTGATATTTTTCGGTTCTGTAGACAAGTATCCATGTCAATCCTGAAAAACAACAAATAAAAAATCTGAATCATTTAAGTTCGATAAAATATATCTCGTTTAGAAAATTAAATTCACTAATACTATTATTAGTAAAAAAAAACTATTTCTGACCTTCTCCTAAGAATGCTGTACAGATTGAAATAAAAACTATTAGCAAAGAATCACTCCACATATCGAATTTTATTGGGAAAAGATGTGTTCAGGGCTCGTTCTTGAAGATTTAGGAGTCCTAAACCTAAATCCTAAAGACACTGGTAGCTACACTGTGAAACTAAAACTCTGAAGTCTTATCTGAGAATAGGGACACGAAAAAAGTAACGATACTTTGTGGTATCGAGTACTTTTCCTTTTGATACCGATACTTTTGTACTCGATACTTTGTATTCGATACATTTACTTATTGAGTACTTTTTGGCAAGTAAGTATCGATACCTTTAAAATTTGGATAAGCGCCTGATATTGTTATGACATATTCAAATTCTTTCCAATCTGTGACTGTGTTTATTTTGCGCTTTGTTTTGTTTCATAGTTATTTATTTAGAGACCATATTGTTAGGAATTGTGATTGATGATTCGCCGTTTATTGTGCTTTTCGCTTGACTGCATTTGATGTATTCAAGTGTAACACTATTATTCTGTCTGTGCTGTGTATACCTATTTGAAACCACGGACCTGAAAAAAAGACGGACGTAACCTCTTCTATAATTATAATATTGAGTGAAGCATGCCAATGGCCGCCGTTAACTGCGTGTCAGATTCAAGTTAACATTTTAATTATTAATGTGATATTAATGAACACTTTTTAAGTGTCAGAAATCACAGCTATTTTCTTTTCATTGTATAATATAGCAATTTGTGAATTAACATGTCCTTTTTCTGTTTTTGATTATACGTACTATAGTAAAATTCGATTGTTTTTCTTTCAATTTTTAACCCGTGGGGGGGGGGGGGGTGGGTGGTTGCTCATCAGGCCACAGAGGATCCGATAAGGCCCTATGAAATGTACTCGATACTTTGAAGTATCGATACTTTTGTTTAAATACTTTTACGAGTACGATACTTTTTTACCGATACTACTCATGAGTACAGTATCGATACTTTCTATTCGATATCGTGTCCCTATCTGAGAATGATCAGCAGAGGGAACCACAGCACTCACAAAACACTACGGTGTCGATTCTGGCATGATTCTCTAAACCTAAAGACAACAGTGTATCCTTGTCATTCTCTATACAGAATGAAAAGGAGAGACGATGTTAAATTTACTTTTAAGTTTAGAGAATCACGCCAGAATCGACACCACAATAATTGAATTTCATTTTTTAGATTTTCACGTTTTAGGGACGGCAAAGAGAACAATGCCCATACAGCCAGGTCTTTAGTTTTTAGTCTTAGTCTTAGTAGAACGGCGGGCTGTTTCCGCAACTCGACACACACGACACACAGTGCCTATTTTGCGTGGGGATTGGCATCAGTCCTGCCATCCCAGCTCCTCCAAAAAGCTCAGCAATCCCCGGATGTTGCTGCAGGCTTCTACTAGTGTCCGCGGGCTTCCCATTAGAGAAGTCCTTTGTCTTGCAACGCTTCTGCACTCCAGCAGAACATGGGCGCTCGTCTCCTCTTCCTCCAAGCAGGCTCTGCACAGAGGGCTGTCAGAAATACCTATATTATAAAGGTGTTTGTTGAAGTAGCCGTGACCCGTGAGTATACCCACGATTTGTTTCAGGGCTTGTCTAGGTAGTCGGATTAACTAACGTGATAGCTGCTGGCTTACCTTAGGAACGGCTTCCCTAGCTTGCCTGCAGTCAGTGTGTTTTGCCCAATATTCATCGTGTTGTCGTTGACAGCGCTCCCTTATGCAGGTTCTGCTGTCGATAAGGTATGGGTACAATTGGCTCCGGGCCAATGGCCGTCCTGCTGGACCCCTCTCTAGCCAGGCAGTCAGCCGCATCGTTACCCCTTGAGCCGCTGTGTCCTTTAATCCATTGTAAGGTCAGTCTATTGTCACTACAAATATTGGATAACTTACAGTGGCATTCGTAAATTAACCCTGATGTCATTGTATTGTTGTCTAGTGCCTGTAGGACAGAAGCGCTGTCAGAGAGAATACGAATATGTTTTCCTCTTACCCCGCGGCAGTCTATCGCCTCTGCGGCTCTAATGATGCCCACATACTCTGCCTGGAAGACTGTGTTATGTGTTCCCAATGCTGTTGAGATGTGTATATTTAGGTCTTCGGAGAAGACACCCGAACCTGTCCCGCAGTTGGTTTTTGAACCATCCGTGTAGACCCTTAGCTCCTTGTGCAAACAGCGGTCCGGAGTGTCTTCATACAGTTGTATTTTATATTTTTTGTCAAATACGTACGTCTTAGGAATAAGGTCGTTTACTGCTGCAAAGTACGGAAAGTGCCTGTGTATGTCTGCCAAGATACTGGTATGTGGAGAGTTGTTGTCCTTCCATAGCCCCAGCATGCTTAGGCGAGTGGCTGTACAAGCAGCTTCCTGTTGTATAAATAAATGGAGTGGTCTCACATTAAGTATAGTCTCCAGTGCTGATGTGGGAGAGGTTTTCATGCAGCCGGTGATTGCACAGCAGGCTCGCCTCTGGAGACGTCTTAACTTATTTGTTGTCGTTACCTGGATTGTCTTGGTCCACCATACTACTGCTGCATAGCTGATGATGGGCCTAATTATTGTCGTGTACAGCCACCTGACAATGAACGGTGCTAGTCCCCAAGTTTTGCTAATCATTTTCCGACACTGCCAGAAAATGATGTTGGTCTTCGTAGTAGTTTTGTCTATGTGTGATCCCCAGTTCAGTTTAGAGTCTAGGGTTACTCCTAGATACTTTACCTCATTGGAGAGAGTGAGTGTCGTGTTTAAGAGTTTCGGTAGCCGATAGTCACCTAAGGATCTTTTGTTCGTGAACATTACCAGTTCTGTCTTCACCGGATTCACCTTGAAGCCATAGTCGTCACACCATTTTTCAACCACCTTCAATGCTCCCCTTGTAACATCACAGGCGGTGCTCGCAGACTTACCCGGGACCATGATTGCCAGGTCGTCCGCGTAGCCCACCGTGTGGAAGTGAAGGTTGTCAGGTCTTTAGTTATATTTAATCTTCTTTTTTAGATTAGAATGTCGGTGTGACGCATTCTAATGTGTCTTGGAGTGTTTGCCACGAAATGTCTCGAGTTGGCTTTTTCGATAAGCTTCTGTGAGGTAGTCAACACTACAATAAAGTTCTCACGTCCAATTGACCGGAATAGCGTATATTCTAATGATTCCACTCATTCTTCAGTTGCGCAGAACGGTTGAACACAAAATCACACCAATTTTATTTCACAATATCCACTAAGAAAGAATTTAAGAATACCTAATTAAATTAAGTAGTACATAGTAGTAGGTAGTATAATTTCGTCCATTGGGACAGGCGAAGGTACTATGCGATTCAAATAAGAATAGGAAAGCCAATGACCTCCATCTGTCCAATGTCGCTTGAAAAGTACAGTTTGCAAAAAATAATTAGAACACTTTTTTAGCACGGAGCTAATATTAGAATAAAAACCAAACATTTGTAAACAAAAGAAGGAAATAAATTATATATGAACGTATAAAAAATCAGTACTGGAAAAGGGAAATATAAGAACTTCAGTATTTTAAATACAGGTAATAAAAAGACCGTTTTTATTTTAAATAAAGTTGTCGTTTTAAAACCTACAATAATCGATATTTTATTTTATAGCCGAAAGCAGCAGTTGTGATGATGACTACTCTGATGGTAGTGCAGGCAGAGATGACCGATATTAAAGAGCAAGATTCCGATTAATGTCTCACTCTACTTTAATAAATAAATAATATTAAAAATTATGTTTTTATTTTTCTTAACATTAGTAAATAAATTGTTATTTACTAAGCCATACTGCCAAGTCTTTTATAACGCCATCCTCACTCGATGAAATACCGCCAAAAACTCTTTCTTTTTGTATATAAATTTTACGGCCTTGGAGATTCCCATATTGGCCAGTCATTATATTACTATACTTATTTAAAAGTTTATATACTTATTTAAAAGTTCCTTGCTTGGATGCAAGAAGCTTGGATGATCAATTTTATTTTATAATTTATTCATAACCATGTATACAAGTCCTTCAGTTGTATAAGTAAATACAAAACTTAATCTTATTTTTTATATTAGAAAGTCTGTTTGACGCATTCTAATGTTTCTTGGAGTGTTTGGCAAAAAAGGTATCGAGTGGATGTTTTTTGACAAGCTTCTATGGGGTAGTCAACACTACAATAAAGTTCTCAATTCGACTTGACCGGAATAGAGAATATATACTCTATAATATTGAATATTATTAAGATATTAAAGATTAAATTAATATCTTAATAATATTTAATATTATAGAATATACATTAAATACATTATTTATATCTAATTAAAAGATTATATTTTAAAGATTAAAATATACTCTATTCCGTAGAATAAATTCTTCAGTTGCGCTGATGGTTGTACCATGTGTAAGCATCTAATAGTCTGTGCATTCCACCAATACAGCTTTGCTCTCCGGAACGATTTTGAGGGTCGCGTAAGCATTTCAGTTAGTATATAAGTTCCTTGATGCTCTAAGATAAAACATTTCGATCAATTCCAACTTAAAGAAAAAACACTTGTTAATTTTCTGTCACTGAGTTGATACGATTGCACGCATCACACGAAAACATTACTTTTGAGAGTGCTCGATTGTGCGAAGCGTTGCTGTAGTTGAACCATTCAACGTTAAGCATTATGCTGCTTAATGCGCTCTAGTGCTGTAATTGGAAAACTACCCTACTCATGTGTATTTCTTCCTTAGCAGTCAAAATTAAAATAGCAAATATGAATTGCCATGTGAAGTGTCGGCATTGTAGTCACTTTATCTATGGTTGAACATGTGTTGATTGACGAACGTGTGTCTGATTTTTGTCAACATTTCATTTGTCTAATTTAATTCTAGTATAATTGGCAGAATTGTCTAAGGAGACAACAGCCAGCCTTTACAAAAAATAGAATAGAATAGTATTTTGGTATGGGTTTATTGTGTATTAATAATTCTAAAGATAATCCCATAAGGTTTCCCATAACAATTGTATATATTTAATTTCCTCCAAAATGGATTCTAAATATTCTGCTGTTGCTGGTGTAAAAGATGCAAAAACAAATAATTTTAAAAGAAAATTTGTCAACATAATAGAAAATAACGTTAAAAAAGTTAAATTAAGTCAGCCAGACTATAAACTAAATAATGTACATGGAACTAATAAAAATTATAAGCAAACTATTGTCAAAGAAATATGTCCAGTTAATATGCAGGAAGCGCGGAAAAGATTACCTGTTTTAATGGTTCGTTCAAGGTAAGTTCAAAATATATAACCTATTGCACCTTATAATTAAATAAGGGCTAAACTGTCCTTCCAGAGGGCCCAAGCGGTGATACTTCACACTAGGTTAGGTTAGGTTAGTGTTGTGACCATAACGCCAGAATGAAAAAAATAGTTATTCAGACCTTTTATACAAAAAAAAAAGACAAGTATCACCTCTTGGGCCCTGGAACTCCTGGAAGTACAGTTTTGTTATTTACGGGATTGTTACAATGTACCTTGTTTTTAGCGAGTTTCCAATATATCGGTACTGTTCCAAGCGCCATGATTACAAAGTAACTGAAGTAAATGCGGGTAGACTGTTATTGGCAGACATGTCGGTCTACCCTCGAACAAAGCCTTTTATTGTGTTCAATACCCGTACCACTGTTTACATTCTCAGTATTGACTTGAAACTTTTAACAATCCCGTAAATTACTTATATTACTTTAATGTTCGTGACCATGATAGTTTAAAACAATATATCTAGCTGAGTGAGCTTCATATTGAACTTTATTCTTGTATTACAATTTTAAATTTTGTGTATTCAGGCAAATTTTTGGTGGTTTTTTTTCCAATAATATAGTATAGTGATACTGGAAATTGATGCAGTAAAATCGCAATTATTATACAAAGTTTTATTTCAGGTTAATACAAGAGATAAGGAATAATTTGACTATGATTTTGATTGGAGAAACTGGTAGTGGGAAGACTACACAAGTTCCTCAAATCATTCATGAAGCTAGACTAGAAGGATTGGGCTCCATAGCAGTAACGCAGCCTCGTAGAGTGGCCACTATAACAATAGCTCTGAGAGTTGCTGCTGAGATGAATACCGAAATTGGTGGCTATGTTGGGTAAGTAATTTTTAAGTAGCAAATGTATCCAATTGCATTTTATTCCAAATATTGCATCTATAATATTCTAGTATATAAACATTTTTTTAAACAATTGAGTTCCTGCATATTAGTTTTCTGGATGAGTCGGAAAGAGAAGGGTTAGACTAAGCAAAACCTGAGTAATATTATGATAATATATGCATATAGTGGGCTCCTTATAGTAATATAGCAGAGGCTGCCTAGTAAGGCATAGGATGAATTCAAAAACGATTGCATTACAATGACCTTCATTGGTAATCTTAAGTTTAATTTCAGACTATTTTCTTATACATTCCCAGAACTTCTATAGCCAAACTATAAAAATATATTTGTTTCTTAGGTTTTCATGCACATCACACATTAAATAAAACAAGTTTCAATGGGTTAGATGCTCAGATTTTATTTATTTATTGACGATTCGCACCCTTTCCTTAAATTAATAAAAAATCTGATGATGCGAAGGGTGCAAAACGTCAGTAAATAAATAAAATCAGTGCATCTATTCCGTTGAAACTTGTTTTATTTACAAAAAATATGCCAAACTCAACAAAGTATTTTTCTCACTCCAAAACTAATAGATATAATCCCTTGAAATATACGAAATACGAGGTAAGCTTAAAAATTAACACAGTTGTATTACCGTTATATATAGTTTAACACCTTTATAACGGGTGTTATAAATTTATGTTTGCTATTAGATTGGGTTATAATCATAACCTTACTTTCCCACAACCATACTACTGTCGTCAAAAATAAAGCAGTACCTATGCAAACTTATTCACTTTTTCTGTAGCAGGTGTTACAATGATTTGTCTCAAAAGAACCCTCACAAACTTACAGATTAAAAGCAGAAAATACCTCCTGTTTCCACAGTTTACAACAGTTGAAGATATTGCGATGCATCATTATCTCGTAAACTTTCAATTTCCAATAATTTCAAAAGTTTTCAGTGTTGCAAATTTGAAAACACCATCAGGACAATGTTTTGATGTTAGTTTACCCTGTAAAAATACTTCTTGTGTTTTTGAGTGTTGCCTCTTATCAAGTTCTGTTGGTTTGCTTATTTTTATTAATTAATGCTATAGATATATTAAACTTAAAAAAATGGCAATGGTCACATGCAAAATAGAATGACACAGACTAAAAACTCTCCTAAACTTAGGACTAAATAATGGTAGTGATTTGTGCATATTTTATTATATTTATTAATAAGGATTGCCCAATGATTATGTCAAACGTAGGAAGGTAAAGATCTACAGAATTCCATCATATTGTTGACAAAACATGTAATTTTTTAGTGAGCATAAATATATAATAATAATACCTATAAAAACTTTATCATTTTAAATGTTTATAAAAATCGTTTATTTTTAGGTATTCTGTGAGATTTGAAGATGTTACTAGTCCAAAAACAAAAGTCAAATATTTAACAGATGGGATGTTATTAAGGGAAGCTATAATGGATCCTTTACTAAAGAAATATTCTGTTATTATACTTGATGAAGCACATGAACGCACTGTTAATACTGATATTTTATTTGGTATAGTTAAATTGGCACAAAAGGAAAGAATTGTCAAAAAATTAAGTGAATTAAAGGTAATTAATAAAGTTGGTGAGAAGTTAGATGAGGCAAGTGGTTAGTGCTTTTGGTCTGCGATTGTGGAAGTTAACCAACTTTCGCAATAGCCGATCATCGGATGGGTGACCAAAATTGTATTATCTAGAGCTCGGCCGTTCGAGTTCGAGGTTCGGAAGACATGTTAAAGGATGACTCACGCTACACCGTTTTGGGTCCGGTCTGGGTGTCGCCCGTGTTGGGTCCGGGCGTCAGCCGTCGCATGTTTAACACGGTACATTCGTTTTATATAGACACACTCACGCTATACCGAGCCGCAACCGAGTGAATTGTTTATGGCCAACGCCCGTGTTGTGCCAGCACCGTGTAGCGTGAGTCATCGCTGAGCTGTGGATGGTGACGGGTGGATTTGCAATGGTTACCATTAGCATTAGCATCCACCAATCTGCATTTGGCCTGCGTGGTGGGTCATGGCCCAATCTCTATTCTATACATAGGCGAGGCCCCAGCAGTGGGGACATTAATAGGCTGAGGATAAATAAATTTCATTACTTTTAGGTGATGTGATGAGTGTTAATGATACTCAGAATGATTTTAAGAAACAGTAGCAATGGACAGTTATTAAGTTTGCATCCACATTTTTTGTCTTGCCGTTCAAAATTGCCAAATTTCTCTTAACTGAATTTTAGCTGTGTATTGATGCACATTTTATTCTCAAATTAATTTTCGAAATTTTCACTGGTGATATCTTGATCTCTGTCCAACCTTTGTATGGTAAAAGTAAGTAAGCTACATTCACGCATTCTCTCTTGTTGTGTATGAAGTGACAATGCTTTTGAATGTAATTTCAGGTTATTATTATGTCAGCGACTATGGATGTAGATACATTTCGGAAATACTTTGATAATTGCCCAGTTATCTACCTAGAGGGCAGATCCTACCCGGTAACGATATACCATTCTAAAATGAAGCAAGAAGACTACCAGTATGCTGCTCTGTGTACGATATTTCAACTTCACGCCACATTACCCTCAGAGTGAGTAATTTTTTCTATTGGCAGTTAATGTATATGGTCATTAACAGAGCTGCTGCTCATGGTTACCATTTAATATCAAATTGTAAATCAAAATCTGATGAACTGTATTCTCTTTTCAGGCATGACTTTCTGGTATTCCTAACAGGTCAAGAAGAAATTGAATCTGTGATGTATAATATTAAACAGATTGCAAAAGTAAGTTCCGCTGTTTGTGCATGATTTAGAGCAACCGCACATTGAGCCACTAGTGGTTTTTTTTATATATTTTGTATAGTATCGGCGCAAACTAAACGTTGTTGTCCGCCACTAAGCTACTAGTGGTGACGATCGGGGGCTGCGTCTAGTGGCTTCACTGAGCCACTAGTGGTCGCGTTTAGTGGCACAATGTGCGCTTACTCTTAGTCAATGACTTAATTTAGTGTCATTCATATCAATGAATGAAGGAATATCATTCCTTCATCAAAATTTGCTTTTATGATAGATCAAATATTACAGGAAGCTCCAGGGCCTTTAATCAAAGTGTGTCCACTATATGCAGGCTTGCCAGCTGCCAAACAGCTGCAGGTTTGGAAAGATCCGCCGCAGGGCACTCGCAAAGTAGTATTGGCCACCAACATCGCAGAGGCCTCTGTGACTATACCTCGTATAAAATGCGTCATCGATACAGGTGTAGTCAAAGAAAGGTAATAATTTTAAAATAATTAAAGAACAAAATCGTTGCCGAAATCCGTCCAAAAGGTACATTGGACGATACATGGAGCTCCGTAAGATGATCGCGTAGTCAAAAACAATATAAGGCATTATTTAAACATTCAAAGTCACCATTAACGGATACTTTAAAGGTCTTAATTTAAACGCATGTGTCAGAGTTATGACAGTTCGAATTAAAACTCCTAATATTTTACGGCTTGTTGCTATAGTCGGAAGAATATAGACTATTTCTATGACGCTATATTGTAATTTTGAATGCACTGTTAGCAATATAGCAGGTACGGAGCCCGACGAAAAGAGACTGCTACAGAACAGACAAGATGCATTTAATTATCACAATTATTTTCTATTAAATCAGTTGAGAAGCTGGCAAACTTAACAGTATAATTACATAAAATTAAATTTTACAGGAGCTGTATAACTGAATGACATACCTTCAGGGAGCTTTTGACATGGTTTTTAATTTATATATTTAGTATACTGTAGGCAATTTTGATTGACTTTAGGCAATTTTGATTGAAAATTATTCGAGATTCAAATTCGACGGGCGCAAACCTCCGGACTTTAAAAAATAAGTAGTGTGATCAGTATCCCTAGCACGAACCATTATCGAATTCGAATAGTTTGCGAGTGCGAAATGTCAATGTCAAATTTTGAATGGAAACTTGAACAGCAGCGCCACAAAGTACGTAACGAGAACTAAAAATCAGTACACATTTGACAATGACAATTTGGACTCGCAAACGTTACGAATTCGATATTGGTTCGTGCTAAGGGTACAGATGCGTAATTATACCGTTTTGTTCGCCGGCTCCTCAGTTTATCGTAAGGATTAGAACGAAATTTGTTTCAAATGCATATTTGTTTCTTAGGTTTTCACGCACATCACTCATTAAATAAAACTAGTTTTTACGGGTTAATGCACGAAACTTTATTTATTTATTGACGTTTCGTAGCCTAACAGGCTTCGTCGTCAGAATAAAACTTTTATTTAATTTGTCGAGCTACCTTCGAAAGACTTTTATTGAGCGTTTGGTTATTTCATTGTTCGATTTTTAAGTTTTATTGTCTATGTATGAATTTATTATTTAATTTACTTAATAAAGTATTTTATTTAAATTCTTGTTTGTAATTTTGAGTTTATTTATTTGACCCTAACTACCGTAAACTACCACCGGTTCCAAAATTGGGAGACCTTCCTGAGAAGAACCGGCGAAACAAACTCAAGAGAGGCTTTCTATCTCCTTCTTATGTTAAATTATGCAAACAAAAAGAACTAATAGTATCTGATGGTCTTGCAGTGTGTGCTCGGGGTTGGGATTTTATCTCCTGTATAATAGGTTCCCAAGCTGGTGGTATATACCAACCATCTTCCCTATTGAAATTTGGATATTTTTTAATCTCAATAGCCTCGCGCATCATTCGAGGAACGAACCGCCGCTCAGCTGCAAGGATCTGTGGTCTATCAAATCTAATGTAGTGGTTTGGTCCCCCTAATGCATGTTCACATAATAAATCTGCAGTGTGAATCGAATATTGCGCGAGGCTATTGAGATTAAAAAATATCCAAATTTCAATAGGGAAGATGGTTGGTATATACCACCAGCTTGGGAACCTATTATACAGGAGATAAAATCCCAACCCCGAGCACACACTGCAAGACCATCAGATACTATTAGTTCTTTTTGTTTGCATAATTTAACATAAGAAGGAGATAGAAAGCCTCTCTTGAGTTTGTTTCGCCGGTTCTTCTCAGGAAGGTCTCCCAATTTTGGAACCGGTGGTAGTTTACGGTAGTTAGGGTCAAATAAATAAACTCAAAATTACAAACAAGAATTTTAAATAAAATACTTTATTAAGTAAATTAAATAATAAATTCATACATAGACAATAAAATTTTAAAAATCTTCCAATGAAATAACCGAACGCTCAATATAATTCTTTCGAAGGTAGCTCGACAATTTTAAATAATAAATCAATATTCTGACGTTGCAGACCTGAAAAGGCTGCGAAACGTCAATAAATAAATAAAGTTTTCGTGCATTAACCCGTAAAAACTAGTTTTATTTATTGTTTCAAATGCGTTAAATTAACAATAAGATACCTGCTATAATTAATTGACACCAGTCGAAAAAACGACACTATGTAGTATAATTATTTTTCTCGGAGCTCTGCAGCATCTTGACGTCGTGTGAAATTATTATTTGAAGGCTGAAAGTATTACCAACATTTTTCTAATTGTTAAAGAATTGAAAGAGTTTATGTTAGGTACTTCTACGATTTTGAAACGAAATTCAAAATTAACACCACAGTTGAAATTTTATCAACTGTGTCGATAACAAAGGTCGAAATTGTAGATCCATTTAAACAAATATTCTTTCTTTGAATTCCTAAATGCAATTATATACCGAGTAACTGCGGGTTACTTTGATCTAAAATATGCACTTTTTTTTCAAATCAAATTGTAGCTTCTCTTTATGATGAATATGTCACGTTATATCTTTCCATTGTGAACTTTAAGGTATAAGTTACAAAGTTAACATACGAAAATAGGAAAAAATAATGTTTCAGGGTTAATATACATTTTTTTTAATTTTGGGCCAAAGTTGGCCTTAGAAGAGGGTTACTTTAGCTCGTTGAGTTTTCCCTGCGAAAAAAAGACATTTTAAGCCTTGTTGGGGTTAAGTAACCCTTAAAACAGGTCACCATTAGCATCTTAATACACTAATGGATGTTTTTCCCAAAAATAATTTAGTTAATTTATAAATAAATAAATTTATTTTTAAAGCGATGACGTCCCAATATACCATATATATATCAAAAAATCCCTTATTTTTAAAGGTATTAGAAAATATAAGCAAAATATCCATATTCTCCCACATTAAAAAGATATACCTTTTTTGTGTTTTGGTTATTTATTTGAAATTATTTGGAATAAACATGTTCAGAACGCACCCATTGACGATTAATTTCGCACATGAAATGATTTAATATTCATAGACTATGTATAAATTATTTCTTTTTCTAAATACTTGTTAACCGTTATTCAATTAATAGTTAGGCATCTGATCAACTAGTGTTATTAGGTATTTAAAGAACTTTTATCATAAAAGTAACTAAGTACAAATTGAGTATGAGCTTTTTGTTTAATTGCTCGCTTTATGCATATAACGGAACGTTATATGTCATCGATCGGCAACATCGATTGACTGACACACAGTGACAGTGATCATTCTGTGCTAAGGCTTTCGCTAAGATTGTTGTTGTGAATTATTGTGATTGTACTATTTTGGATTACCTTCTGTTCTTTTGACATTGGCATTGATTTACGGACTGATAACCAAATAATATTTTTGTCAATGTCAAGACTTACCTTCCATTTATCCCCATACCCACCATTATTACCTTATGATGTGTACCATTATTACTTCGACTCGATTAGTCAGTGATTGAAAGATAGCAGGTATCTAGTCTCGTCTAACGACTTACTCTTTAGCCGGCTGAGCCAGAAAAATGCCCCAAAATAGGACTGAACTAAAAACCACTTTTTAGTTCAGTCCTATTTTTTTTCTATGAGGCATCGAATAAAATAGCTATGAAATCGCCAATTACCCTCTTCGCTTTTCGTTACTACATTTGGGCTTCGCCGCAGTCGGGTAAAAGGTACTTGTTGATTGTAACCTCAAAAGTATTAGTGGCGATATTTTAAAAAATCGTGGCTATTTATATAAGATTTTTAAACGGGATAGTGTTTACAACATAAAAATAAACCATTCTCACTATAGTTTATTAAGGGACATCAAAAATAAAAGTCAAGTCCAGCTCATATAGAAATCTGGCCATTGTTCTTTGTGTAAAACCTTTTGAATTTATCATCAACATACTCCCATGAACATGTTCAATAACGTTAAATATAGAAAAAATAGTAAATTTACTGAAAACCACAGTTATACGAGAAAGTGAAAGAGGTTGATACAGGAACGACGTCGGTAAAAGAACATCACACTACGCGCCTATATGGCCATCTGTGATTTTCAACTGGAACTATTACGCTCACCCAAGAGATACTGATGTGGCGGCAAGTTCAAACTTTTTTCTGATTTGGGAATAAGTTACCCGCCCGAGCTAAAGTAACCCTCAGTTACGGTATTCTTAATAAAAACTTAGCCATTGACTTAACCGTTTCAGACATTTGGGCGAAATAACGTGCAAGTGAGTCGGGAATAAATTTTTCCGTTGGTACCTACTTATACTGTAAATCTGCGTATTCTTGATGCGCAATATTCTATTTGATCAGTTGTTAGTTTGTATCCCCATCCAGGTAAAGGAACTTGTTGATTTTTGAAATTAAAAAGGTTCGGTTATTTTTTTTATTTTTAAGTGATAATTTTTTGGAGGATTATTTAAAATATGAGATTTTATTTACTTTTGCCCCCTTAGAACATGGTGTACGCGCACGGGCGCGGAACGTTTGCGCGTGACGCGATGTGCGGGCGCGGCGTGCTGGCAGCGGGCGGGGCGTGCGGGCCGCACCGCGCCAGGTGCCGCCTACCGCCTCTACACCGTCGCCGACCTGAAGGCGCGCCCCCCCCACAGCACGCCGGAGATCGTCAGGTAACCGGCCTTGTGCTCCCAGCGCGTGGTGTAGTGACGCGATGCTCGGGTGCGGTCACTGGAATTGCCCTCACCACACCCGTGTGTCAAAGTTTCTATCAAAATATAGTAAATGGTTCACAACATAAAAATTAAACGGAGAGCTAGTGGGATGGAAAATCAAGGCTAGGATTTTGGACGCAATGGGTTTATTTACAATATTATAAAATCATTCACAAAATAAAATTTTATGCAGATGACAGACAGAGACAACGAGTACACAACAAAGATTTTGATAGGAAAAACCAATATTGTCAATACTTAAAAAAAATATAAAAACTAAATGTAATAAAAATGTCGGCAACAATGATTTTAATTTAAACTCATACTATGCTTTAGTTTTGCTTCTGAGGGAGAGGACTTCACCCTCCGGTTATCTTGCGATTTGGATAGGGATCCGTTATACGAGTCAGTGACATGCACATTATGTTATTTACAAAATAAGCAGATATTATATGCTCTCGAAATGTTTTACAGAAGATTGAAAATGTTTGCAGATGTCCACTTGCGCCGACGATACTACTATTGATTGCTGCAGGCATGGATCCAGTTACATTTCCATTGATTGATGCGCCGTCATCCGATTCAATAGAAGCTTCCCTAGTCCTGTTGAAAGAATTAGGTACCTAATTGAAATAACTTTAGTAGAGTTCGCATACTACACGAGAGTCAACGAATTAGAAATAATATGGTGTACGAACTGCGCTAAAAAACAGCGATCAACAAGCAGCTCATGGGATTGGTTGGGCTTTCTGTTTAACATTATCTTATCCAATGAATGGATAACCGAATTCATTTGCAGATATTTGATTTGTCAAAGTATTTTGTTTTGTCTGTGTGTGTATGTCCCGTTAGTATTGAAGTTTAGTTATTTGGAACCATGATTTAGCGACCTTTGTTAGAGAGTAATTCTAATTCATTGACGAGTGCAGAATTAAAATATTTTGCTATTTCAGGTGCTATTGACAGTGAGTCGAATCCGAAACTTACTCCCATTGGAAAGAAAATGTCAGCATTTCCTATAGATCCTAAATATTCTAAGATTCTTCTGAGTGCGCCAGAGTACGGATGCTTAGAAGAGGTAATTACTTTTTTTTCGCAAATGTTGTTATAAATGCGAAAGTTTGGTTATGGTTTAATAATAAATGAGTTCTTAACACTTGATTATAATTTTAATTGTGATATAATGATATAGATAATTCTTTTTCAGGCCTTAAGCTTAGTAGCTGTGTTATCAAGTGAAAATGTTTTCCATACTCCTATGCACAAGAGAGAAGAAGCATTGAAGGTCAAACAGAAATTTATATCACCCTTGGGCGATCACATAACTCTATTAAATGTGTTCAAGGACTTTTGTAAGGCGCCTCTGAAAAAGGTGAGATGTGATTTTATACAAATTTACCAGTTCAATCTGTTTTCGGTATTCTCATTGTCTTTTATTACAATATATTGTTTGTGAATCTTTTCAGCAATGGTGTAAGGAGAACTATCTTCATCACAAGAATCTTACGTACGCTTCTGAGATACGACATCAATTGTTGTCCATATGTCAAAGGCTAAACTTGACCGTGTCCAGTTGCGGAAACGCTTTAGATCAGGTATTTTTATTTTTTCTCTTTTTATCCTTTCGAAGCTACATGCATTCATGATAATCAACAATGTTAATTTATTTTATGTCATATTACGAATCGAAACCGTTCAGTGAGCGTAAAAATTCCTCATTGCATACGTAAACACATCTCTGTATCTCTCTCTGTGAGCTCGCGAGTTCAGTGCCCTTTCCCATCCGTGCCCAACGTGTATGAAGGTTTCATAAAACTCGCCCTTTTCGTTGCAGCTGCTGAAATGTTTGCTGTGCGGCCTATTCACAAACTGCGCATGGTTGCGTAGCGGTGCGGGCGGCGAAGGTAAATCTATAGGTGTCGGTCGTTACGTGACCGCGTCGGGGGCTGGGGCTAGTCTTCACCCCGCGGGGGCGCTGCATACGGCCCGTCCTCTTCCCCCCGCTGTCTTATATACGGAGTTGTTACACACTCGCCGCCCCTACCTGCTCACCGTGTCCGCGATACAGCCGCACTGGCTGCACCGAGCGGCGCCAGAGTACGCCCGACGCTGCCACGCCAGCCGGTGACAAATGACTCGTGATCGGATAAAGTGACAATGCTAATGTGATAGTCGCATCCTCCGCCCCCGCTGTTCTATATACGGAGTTGTTGCACACTAGCCGCCCCTACTTGCTCGCCGAGTCAGCGATACAGCCACACTGGATGCACCGAGCGGCGATGCGCCCGAATACGCCCAAGGCTGCCACGTCAGCCGGTGACAAATGACGCGTGATTGGATAAAGTTTGAACGAATTCTGATGTGACTTTCTCTACTTACGAGTGGCAAGATTACTAGGGGGTAGTGTAGTGCTCATTTGAGGTATCTGAGTACTTATACAGCTTCCATGCTAGTCGGTCACAACCATGCAAGACAAGATTACTCTGAAGTGCGATGGATAAAGTGACAGTGAATCCAAATGAATACTAACGTGACCGTATCTGCTAACCAGTGACAAGATTACTGTGTAGTGCCACTGAGGTACTAGGGCAAGCCAATATATCATAGTTGTCAAGTATGTTATAAAGCAGCATTGGCTGCACCAAGTGATGCTTGAGTTGCTTCACCAGCCGGTGACAACAATGCCAGATTTCCTGTGTAATGATAGTGAATTAGAATGAATGCTATTTTCTGATAATTTTCCACCAACTTCAGTGACATTATCCGAGATTACTGTGCATTTGCAACCATAGACATAGAGAATGGGCTGAGATTTTCATAATATTTTTTAAAATAGAACTGGACAGATAAATCCAGTAAAGAGAGTCCTTTTGCTTTCCCTTTCATTTTACATCAGGGAATGAGATAAGCTAGTTACAAACAATTGACCATCAGTCCCCATAGCATGAGCACCTCAATTTACGTTATATCACGTTTTTTATCGTGTCTAACTGTCAAACTCCGTAGTAATTTGATACTTGAGCGTGATAAAAACGAGAAATATATCGCGGTGCTCATGCTAGGTGGGCAGGATGACCAATGGAAAATACGGTGATGGATGTAATATTACAAAACAAATGGAGGATAAGTCACTGTGACCCTTAAGGTGGTTTACTCAAGGTTTCAGTTGAGGTCAAACAATCTCAAACCTTAACATTGCACTGAGATCACGAACGCACAAAATTAGTGACATAGCTTGCGTCAATCAATGGAGCCGCCCCTTTTTTTTTACTGTTGCCATGTGAGAGCAGTATTTTTGGTAAAATTTTACTTATCGTTAAAAAAAAATATCATCGTGCGTGGATTGCCCCATTCGATCCTTTAAACTACGCCACTGATTAAATAAAAAACAAATATTGAAAAATTTTAAATGTTTGGAATAGAATATAATTAGGTAGGTAAATATTAAGTTTGTTCTGTAAGTTTATGTTTAAATGTTTACGACTTATTAGTGCATTTATCTGTCTGCACTATAGTTGCAGATTGGCTTCTTTATTGTTTTTATTATAGGTACTAATCCATTGTATTGTGTTTGACATTATGACGATAATAAATATGCTTTAATCCATTAACCTTTTGTAAGATACGCTTCCGCATTCTATGTATGACATAAACACAATGTAACATTTATAAAGCTGCGTACAGCGTGTTCCAGTATATGCGAAACCGGTTAAGCGTGTCCTGCACAAACAACAACATCATCAACTGCAACATCCATTTTGCCGACCAAATATATTCGTACCCAGGCGGGCGCGTCCCCTTTGACGCATGATCAAAAAACAACTTAAGGTACATTTCCGCGTATCGCGGTCGATCGCAGCCACGCCTGATCGATCGCGTGCGGTAACGCGCGCGGCAGATGCGATTAGTCAGTGTATGAAAATGTATGGCACCGTGAGGCCGACGTCTGTCGTAGACTTCGATTCGAAGGAGATTCGATCGAAGAAGAAGATTCGATCGAATTTGCCGTGCGCGTCAGTCTCAAACGAAAGATCGCGCGCGGCTACGATCGGCTGTGATGCGCGGAAGTGTACCTTTTAGTTGTTTTTTGATCGTGCGTCAAAGGGGACGCGCCCGCCTGGGTACGTATATATTTGGTCGCCAAAATGGATGTTGGAAGAATTATGGATAGAAGAAAAAATAATGAATAATAATGAGTAGCGGAACTCGCGTAGCCCTGTGGATCGACTGACGGCGGTCTATACTGGAGCTGTATGCCTATTCGATAAACGCGTGGATAGCGTGTCCCGACCACGCGTAACACGCGCTTTCCGTGCGCGGCTTTATACATGCGACAATATATAAAGCTGCGTACGGAAAGCGAGTACAAGATAAAACTTTCGACGGGTATTTTATGCATTTAATGCAATATTCAAGACAGGTGGTTAATAATGTGTACAAAATACCTTTATATGTTAAGTCTTATTACCTGATTTTAATCTGTATCTGAAAGGTGTATAAGTGTTGCAATTTTAAGTGTCTGTTCAAAGGTATGTATCTTACTTGGATACATTTTTATATGGATTATTTTGACTCTGGCGTGCCACCGCCTGCATCCCTACACATTTGACTGCAAAATAAAGTTAGTCGTAATAGCAAAAGTGGCAATTCCAGAATCTGATTTATCAGTATGTTGGAATGTGTTAGTAAAATATTCGTATCATAAAATTTATCTCCAAATTTCAAGTTCATGGTTCAAAGTAAATTAAGAAATTCGTCCTTCGTCGTCCTTTGGCAGCTTCTATGTTCTTTTTTTCCAATGAATTTAAAACAAAATATACAGCGCTAATCTACTCTTCCGGGACGGCTTTGGGTAAACGAGATGCTTATACCGTGAAAATGTGAAGACTGTAATAATGTAGCTCCAACTGTTTTGACAGTAAAACCTGTGTGAGTTAGACGACGTACAGACAGAGGTTCTTAATGCGTATATCTGGTTTCTGCAAGAGGTTAATATCCTTATTGTTTGGCAAAACTCCGGGTTTTGTGATAAAACAAATATATTTATTAAAAATGTAAATACCTTTTACCTCAAATTCAAGAACAAAAGGCAGATGGAGCGCACGGAACACGCAATGCGTGGCACCATAGCAAATACGAAGTGAAAAGCGACACAAGGCATCGTGTCGTGAATATGTCCCGTGAATATTAAGTTTTCATCAAAACTATGCCGCCTTGTTCATTCATCGGAAAAACTGTTCACAAAGACAAAAAAGCATAATCTTTTGACTTCGTATTTACTTTAGTGGTAAGCATTGCGTGTACCGTGTGCTCCATCTGCCTTTTGTTCTGTAACATGAGCCTTATATTTTTAGCTGCTGGCAACAGCTTTTAAAAAGTTTTCTTCTCCACAATTTTTATTGAAAGGGACGCAGTGGGTGTGCTGATTTTGTACACGAACGGATGAAAAATCCAGTCTCAAATAGATTTGGACTGTGATTTCGTGTGGAGTCCAGTTAATCTCTTATAATCCGGTCATCAAGACCAGATTTATCCGGTTATATGGTAACCCTACATCCGTAAGAAGCCATTGCTATTGGATCGACAAGTTAATACTGAAATCACTAAAAAAACTGTTATGGACAGTAGAAATTAGAGACCTCTCTGGGGCAACTGTCGGACGGATTACATAAAGTTTGGCACGAAATTAGATTTTTAGAAAAATTCAGAATTGCGTGTAGAATCAAAGAAATAAGATCTATATTCCTCCTCATATAGCAATGTGTCATAAAATTTTACGAGCTTGCATTTCGAACTGTCACAACTCTTTGATGCATGTGTTTTAATTAAGACCTTTTACAGTATGCAGTAAAGGTGACTTACTTACTTTTTGACTATGCGATCATTTTACGGAGCTCCGTGGATCGGCCAATGTATCTATTGGACAGGTTTCGGTCACGATTTTGTTCATGTTGGTGTATCCAGGGTATTTAATATCGTGCAGTTAAATGCTTAAATAAATATATAATAAATTAACTATAGTCGGACGGACGAAGCTACGGCTTTCCAAACAAAAGTGACCGAGGTCACGCGAATGCTTTGAAATCGATCTTTCCCTTTTGCGACAACAGTCACGATAGTAAAATTAGATGGTTCTTAAGAAAGATCGCTAGAATGCTATCGATTTTTAGCATCCTATATTACGTAGGCGAAACCACCCATTTTGGGGGAGTGAATGCTTTCCTCATTATCACTCGAGTTTGGGCGTCATTTATCGGCGGGCTCCTTATCGAGGGCCTATGTTCAGATTGCCTAATGACCCTAATGGCTGATTACTTGCAAGGGTCTTCCTTGAATGTAAAATGTTTTTACACAAATGTAATCCAATTTCTCTTTTTTTTTAATAACACCTGTCAACTTGTTCTTTTGACAAAAATCAAATTAGATTAACATTATTAAAGTTTTAAGTTATCTACAATATTTGGTTAAGTTTGATAAATAGTATAAGAAACATTTGTTTAACATTTTTGTTAAATGGTTTTATGTTGATAACTTATTAAACAAGCAATTGTATTAAATAAAACAAGTTTCAACGGGTTAGATGCACTGATTTTATTTATTTATTGACGTTTCGCATCCTTTGCAGGAATGCGTCGTCGGAATAAAAAAAATGTATTACCTTTTTGTATCAATTTGACTCTCAAACTCATTTCTTGAATTCAAAAATTCACTTTTATGCACGTCTATTACTCGTGCCTCTGTGAAATATTGCAAAAAAGAAACTAGTTACGTACAAGGAATAATAATTCCTGCATCGAAACTAGTCTCGAAACTACGGTTTCGTAGACGGTCGAAGGGAATATTTTCAAAGCTGGCATTACTTGCGCAGTGTCTACTCCACAAAATTCCTTTAGGGTCCTTTTCCTACCCAGGAAAAGGACAATCCTTTGAGTTACTTTAAAATAAAACCTTTTAAACCTCGCGAATTGCCAAGTTCTTGATATCAGACTTTACTTTTCGGACATCTATCGCTAAGTGGTAGCGTTCAACGAACCGTAGCAAAAATATATTTAGGAAAGTTAGGTTGAGCAATAATAATATATGTATTTTAAAAAACACACGAGAAATATGGTTTATAGATCAGTTTCA